GACAGTTTAAATCTTCTTCTTGGATGTTATCAAAGGCAACAGTGATTAAAGAATCCTGTTCAACGTGCACATAAAATCAGCAGCACAAGAGTTCAGGGGAATCACACATAACTAGGAACAACAAAATCAACTCGTAATAACCCAAATGTCTTTTTGTGTTTTTTTTTTGGCAAAATCCCAAATGTCTTTCAAAAGCCACAATTACCTTTAGACAGTAAACTGCACCTTATCCAAGAGCTCCTGCATCAGCCATGTCCAGTTTTAATACAGCTACATCAGGGGTGCTAAACTGCATTGCCAAAAAAAAAGGGAAATTCATCATCTCCAATCTCCACTTTACCAGAATACCAGACTGTCATGATCGGGCAGACAAAACACCATCCAGCTCAAGCATTACTAATTTACTTTTTGGGCCATATATGATATTGTGTTTTTTGTTTTCCCTCCTTTTTTTCTTTTTATTTTCACTAACAATGATACAAGTTATTTGATTAAGCAACTGCATTTCACCCCAAAATTCCTATAAATAGAATGACTAATCTGACATCTACAAGAAACACAAACTGCCATTGGTTGCATGAGTATGACCCAAATCCAACACACACAATGTCAACACAATTGAGTTCAAAAAAATCCCAGGACCCAGAAGACCTAACTAAATAGACCATTGTAATTTGTAACAGCAACTGGAACTCCACCATTCAGCTAAAAGATAAATCATGTTGATATTTGAGCAATTCAAAGTTATGGCATTTTTAATAGCAAAACCTTGAGGAAGTTCTGCAATTATCAATTGGACTGATTCAAAGCATTAACCATTGAAAACCCAAAACAAAAGATTGGCAGCAGGCACTCTTACCAATTACAGAAAATGATACAACACACAACTCACTACAAATTGAGAATTGCGGAGCCCCTCTTTTGAGAAGTATCCAAATTCCTTGATGCCCATGAAGAGATAGAGGCGGATATCTCAGCTTCCTGATCCAACAAAAAGAAGTCAGTTAATTAATCCATATTTCGTCCATGTTCCTTTTTATCTCATTTTGCAGTTCATGAATGAACAATTTCTAGAAATAAAAATAGACCAAAGCAAAGATGAACCTTTTCCACATCGATTAGAGGAGCCATGGTGAAGATGAACTGTTTCAGAGTGACAATAGGTGATTTCTTCTTCATCTTCTTCATCGATTAAAGAAAATCAGCGCCACCAAATAAAGATGAACTGCCCTCCTGCTACAGATGCTCTTCAATTCGGGCAAGTACATCAATGTCAAACTTTTTAATTTTGGAAGAATGAGTTGGGTGACCCCTTATTTTTCTCCTCTGCTTCTTCTGCATCCCATGCTATTATTTCTTCCATCTGATGGCAATAAGCAATGCTAATTTTCTTCTAGACTTCGGAGATACATCCCAAAGGGGGAACAACTTCTTTATTTTATCACACTGCCGAACACTTAATGTTTTAAGAGATGAAAAAGTGGCAGTGGGGACTTTGGTAATGACTTCTGCTTCAAACAGCGCATCCAACTTTTCCAACCTATAAAGATCCAGAACCTCAAGCCTTTGGACCAGTGGATTTATGGATGAGGAAAGAACACACTTCACGTCACAGCAATACAAATTTTCTTACTTTGGTAATGACTTCTGCTTCAAACAGCGCATCCAAC